TTTTGTGCTTTTTGGGACATCCTGTTTCAGAAACCTGGCATTGCTCTGCAACTCCCTGAATACTGAATTGCTAGGAAAACAGAAGCTAATATGCTTTTTACTATTAAGAGGTATGAAGAAACAGAATTCCATAGGACTGGTAAAGCTTGGTTTGCCCAAATAGATAAACTATAGCCTTGAAGCTTTTCTCCGCTGTCTAGGCAAGTGCAGCAATTTAGTCCTTGAAAGACATCTCTTGGTACATTAGTAATCCTAAATGAGAGATTTGCAAAACCCCTCTGTTGAGGGGTTAACTGCTCTATTTCTGCTTCTGAGAAGAATTTTGTACAAGGTACGTAGTTAATGCTCTTTGTAAAAGTTAACATTTATTGCAGGTGATAACATGATGATAATCTCAGTTCTGAGGGCATTTGAATGATACTTCTATAATACAGCTTTATCTTACTTGCAGTTCTTTATCATCACATGAGCAAAAAATGTGTTGGCAGCTTAATACAGAATACAGATAAACTCATAACTTTTAGATAAAGTCCAGGTATTTATGTGTTGTAAGCATAAATAATTGTACAACTCAAAGATGAACATAGCTCTGAAAATATTTTTACTGTAGGGAAATAGAAATTATAGGGAAACCTATTAAACTCACTTTTGTTTCTGCATACCTGAATATTCTTTACTCATATCTGGTTTAACAGTTGCCTTTTGAGGGGTTTGGGTGGTGGTGTATGTTTGGGGTTTTTTGTTTTGGTTGATTGGTTTCTTGTTTGTTTTGTGGGGTTTTTGTTTTGTTTTGGGTTTCTCTTTTTCTCCCAGTGACCTATATGCTGTGAGGTCTACATATGGCATGGAAGAAGGGATAAAACAGAAATTAACTGAGACCTGGAATGCTTTCAAAAATAGAAGTTAAAGAGAAACCCCTAAAAGCAAGTTTTTATTCATTGCTGTCTAAGTAAGAGAGGTGTCCTGACTTCTTTTTTAGTTCTTGTCCCACAGGTAGCCCTAAAAATTTGACTAAAGAAAATATGAGCTAGCTAACAGTTGTTTCCCAACAACTGTGATATAAATAAAAAATACTCCAATGTTCTCTCATGTAACCTCAAATTGTACTTTATTTACAGACCCTTTTTCTTCAGTTACCAAGTACAAGAATATATTACAGCTGTATCAAATGTTGGAGCCAACCTTAACAAAAGTGAATGAGACCTAAAAATAGTGCTGCTTAGAAGTAACTTTCGCATCTTGTATATGAAAGTGTAGCTTTCCTTAATGTCAGAATAGATCAGTCTTACTGTTTTGGATACACTTGTTCCAATAATATTGGAACAGCAGGTTAAGAACTGTTTATTTGGAAAGCCTGTGCAGATTGTGACTATTCAGTCCTTCATAAGTTATAGAAATTAAAATATTTTGAGAGATGTTAGTGTTCCAAATACTGTTTAGAAAAAAACAGTATTGTGAGCTAACTCTATGCGAAAATGACCTTTATGTGAAAATCTGATGACTAACAAGCTAAATAAAACTCCTTGTTATTCTTAAGTTCCAGCATAAAGAGCCAAATGTAGACGTGCTTTCTCATGCCTGTCTCAAGGCTGTGCCCCCTGTCAACTATTTTCTTTTGAATGAGTCAAATGGGGATGCAGAAAACTAAGGGAGCTATTTACATGGGAGTAAGTAGGAGCTCAGGATAAAAAGTTAGGACCCTTGCTCTTTTAGCGTCTTTTTCATTCTTGAGATTTTTTTTTGAAATATGTTGTTCCTTGAGGCAATTACAGCTTCTGCTGTAAAGCTGCTTGTTAAGAAGCTCTGCTTCTTGATGAGGTAACATCTGTTTTTAGAAGGTATCGAAGTGGTTCCAAAAAGCAAATTTATTCCTAATACCTGGGTGTATCCTTTATAAGGGTTTTATTTATCCTTTTGGGTTACTTGGCCAGTTTTGTGTGAATTTAAGGCTTCCCAGTAGCTCTTCCATGTTTTAGAGCAATTTGGTTTGGTTTTCAGACCCTAGATGTTGGCAGGATGGCCAGATCTAAGCTGCCTGGTAACTGAAAAATTCTAGGGACATCTCTTCTACTAGGCATTTTATGGGCATCTCCTGTTTTTGATATGGCAATGTTTCAGGTTTGACAAAAGAATTAAATGGATATTTTACCTCAAGTAACATAAGGAGGACATGAAGCTAAAAGGAACACACCCCTTATTGGTGTGTGAATGGATATGTGAATTGGGGATGGGAACTTGGCAGAAGAACCTGTATACTTCTGGGGAGTTCCTTTCACAGCCAGTAGCAGCGGATGATTAGGTTGTTGGGGCTCTTGTATCTGTCACTTCTCTGGCCAGTCAGATTGGTGCCAAGGGACTGAAAGCTTCAGGCAGAGTGGGTTTTGTCTTTTCATCAATAGAGTTGCTAATTTCTTTTAGAATATAGGAAAAACAGGTTGAAAAGGTGCTATAAAGGGAAGCACTTGTGTTCTTACAGATCACTGATCAGATGATATGTAGCACCTTGAACTACCCACGTAAACAAACTTGACCACAGTATGCACTCTGCTTGAAATAATCTTGATGAGTCATCAGAAGTGGTAGATCAATATGCCTTACAATCCATTTAAAAGTACCAGGAAGGAACACAATTTTTTCCTGCAAGCTGTAGCTATAATTGCTCTGCTTAATAAGTTATTGAGTTTTTATCAAAACATGAGTGCCACCCTGCTTTTTATGTTCTTAGGTTATTGTTCATCTGTACTTCAGATGATTTTTGATCTTTAGGGCTTATGTGGATGTCATTAAAGATCTGAAAATAAAATCTTTTTACTTATGTCACTAGTGGTGTTGGGTATTTGTTGGGAAGAGATGGAAATAACTAAGGTTACTACTTATTGTAATGCTCTCAATAATTCTAATAATGTTTCAACTGCACAGGATATAAAACTTAGCAAGTTTTGCTGATCTCTGCTAAACATAACATGTTGAGAAGTAGAGTCTTGACTTACTAGTGAATGCTAGGTAGACATTACAGAATGTAAGCAATTAGGTTGATTTATTTTTTTTATGTGTATAATGTTGCTTAAGTATTCTGTCATGTGCTTAACTTTAGTAGACAGGGGGAATAGAAGAGTGTGTTAAGAACTTGAGAAAGCTAACGTGTTGTTCTACTGCAGTTTTAAATAAGGCTATTTATTTTGCAGATACTCTAAAAGAATATTTTTAGTTGGATGAAACATCAGAGGGTCATTGCCTGGCTGCTGGGTTAAACGTTCCCTTTTCTTAGACATACAGAGCTCACAGCATGGTTGCTAAGAGGGGGGGGAAAAAAGCATCCCAAATCACCATTTGTTTTCTTGGTTGGTTGTTTGGGTGTGTTGTGTGTGTATAGTTTTCGTGGACTTGTTAATCAGGAATTTTGAAAAGATCAGCTAATGACAGTGGATTTCAGAAACACTGCTGAGGGGTAAATTTAGCAATGGTTCTTGGCTATTTTAGTATTATTTGTATGGATCTCATGTATTGGGCTCTGAACTTCTACCGGTTCCCTCTATCAGTGGTAAGAGCAGCAGCTAGGAAATCGGTGGTATTTGCATGCTGACCACATTAAATGTCTTCTCTATTTGGAGGGATGAGGTGGGAGGGACCGAAACACAATCACTTGACTTTCCAGGCTGTTATGGTTTTAGATTGTCCTTGCTATCAGGAGGTCAGTTACTGGGCAGGTTTTTCCTAAACTGGTGGTTCTTTTCTTAAGCTGAGCTCTGGGATCTATGGTTAGGGAGACTGGCATCTCTAGCTGTCATCATGATGACTTAATTGTACTTAAAGCATGCAAACTGGCAACCTATGTTGGCATGCAGAGACCTGAGGAGCTAGCAATGCTGAACTTGTCTCAGAGGAACCACTTAAAAAAAAAAAAAAGAGAATTACCATTTACTGGTATAGGGAACACTTTTTACATGGTATTACTGCTTTTGTCATAGGAGCTGAACAGAGTAAGAAAAAATACCTCACAGCTATGGTGAGTAAGTGGTTTTATAGAACTCTAAAGATGGGGAGAGTGGTCTTTATTTTGACTAGAGCAATGTCAGTTCTGTAGAGCTGAACTGCATTCTTTTCTCTCTGTAGAAAATGTTGTTATAAAGCATACGCATTTACTGTTTTGGTTTCTTTTTTTAAATCTAATGAGATTTTACTGAATTGATAAATGTAGCCTTAAAGAGGTCCTGTGCAATTATGTCTTGCCATTTGTTCCTGTTTTAAAAAATTATCTAAAAAGATTTAATTTTTTTTAAGTAGCTACAGAACAAACACAAATTCATTTGTGGCCTATTCTACATATAGGGTACCATAACTAAGAATCTAATCCAGAGGTATCTTTCTCAGTTCTCTGAACTTTCAGATGTTAGTTAGTGGATGTTACAGTAGCTGTATAAACATGGTTTTTACTTGGTTGAAATACTCATTTAGAAATAAATAAAATTTAATGGAGCTATCAATTGACTAGATTTTTCTAGATGAATCTAAATGACTTTATGCCTTACCAAACCAAAATCTGTGATGCCCTTCTGTTCTTTGTTCTGCCACCTGAATTTACAAGATGGTCTTGTCTGTATGGACAAACCATATTACTAAGTGTTGCAATGCTATTGTCAAAAACAGAATATTTTGCATGGAATACCCCTATGCAGTAAAATTCAATGTTGCTGCAAACATGGATTAACCTTAGTTCTGATGCTGTCATGGTCATGCAAGTCTCTGGATCTTGTCCTTTAAAAAAAAAAAAAAGCCTAAACTGGTTCTAGTTTTTGAACTGATAGGAAACTTACCAAGGTACTTGGTAGGAATGGGCTTGAATTATTTCACAGTGAGCATCTACCTTTACTTTGCCTTTTGACTGTATATGTAAGTAGACTTGGATGGAACTTAAATACTTTAAAATACTTTTTCTAAGGATAAGATTTTGTTCACTGTCACATTACTACTTCTGAAGGTCCATCTGTTTTGTTTTTCAGATGATTCAGCTCTAGAGGAAAGATTTGTCTTCACAATTTCCTTTGAAAGCACAATGGACACATTTTAGAGTTTTACAGAAATCGGAAATCATCTAGGAACGAGAACATTGAACTTTGAGGAATAACAGAGTTCAGAGAGCCCAGAAATTGGTCACTGATAAACCTGACTTCGCCATACAGCTTGGAAATGAATACCATTGAGACAGCAAAGCTTGAAGAGCATATGGAGGGTCAAACGAATGACACTTCTAATGGCTACTCACGACCTACTCTCTCAGTCAGTGAAGAGAACAAAAATGGCACCAACAAACCAAAGGGCTTGTCTAACGGCTTACGGAAAACAGCAAAGAAGTATCCTGATTACATCCAGATTTCTATGCCTGCTGAGGCTAGGAACAAATTTCCTCTGGAGTGGTGGAAAACAGGCATTGCCTTTGTCTACGCTCTCTTCAACTTGATTCTAACAACTGTCATGATCACTGTGGTCCATGAGAGAGTACCTCCAAAGGAGCTGAGCCCTCCCTTGCCTGACAAATTTTTTGATTACATTGATCGTGTGCAATGGGCTTTTTCTGTATCAGAAATAAATGGAATGATACTACTTGGATTATGGATATGCCAGTGGTTGTTTCTTAGATACAAGTAAGTTAGCTATATTTCTGCTTTGTTTTCAGAATGTTATTTTTCATTGTTTGTTCTGGTTAGAAGGAATCTTACGTTAAAATCCTTAACAATGTAGAAGAGGGCTGACAGGAAAGTGACAAAGGGGTGGTGACTTGTTTACAAAATGTTCTAGATATTGAAACACAGGTTTCCTGATTATTGAATAATGTTTAAGTCTGAATCTCTGACACCTATGTTGTACTAGTCGAACTTATTTGAGATTGGGCTTTTCAAAATTTACTGACATAGGGATGTTTAAACAGAGGAAATAATGATGATGTAAAAAAATCTCTTCCAAATATGAGGAAGAACCCACTGTCCTCTACAGCTAGCCTAGAAACCTCTTCCTGTGTCTGCATTTCCTTAAACTATACATATGTAGGTCAAGAATGTGGTTATAATATGGGACTATGAAGAGAATATTACTGAGTTGAGGAAAACTGATCCTGACTGCACATATAAGTTATACTGGGGGCACATTAAATAGGTGGGAACTCTGTGTTATTAAGAGCTAACAAGACTAAAACCTGAAGAAGGATGTTTTAGTATTTGATTTAGAAAAGAGCTGGGGATAGAGCTGCTATTTCATTCTAGGGATTTAGCTGTCTAATAAAGCTAGAGCTACACAACTGTTATATGTGTATTCTGCATCTAAACTTTGTATTCAATCTTTTCCCCCCCCCTTCCCTTACTTTCAGATCAATAGTGGGACGCAGGTTCTTTTTTATAATAGGAACTTTGTATCTGTACCGCTGTATTACTATGTACGTTACCACCTTACCTGTGCCTGGGATGCATTTTCAGTGTGCACCAAAGGTAAGAACCTTTGCTCCCTAATTCTTGCCTTAGTCTCTGCCTGAGTCTTTCCTGGTTCCTTAGAGCAAAAGCAAAGTAATGTTTCAGGTATTATTAAAAAACACAAATTACTATTAGTGGATGTCTTCAGAAACACAGGTAATGATAAATCAAAAGCTGTGTGATACAGAAAGAGCCTCAAGTTGTTGCAGCTAAGATGCTTTAGTGAGGGTACCTATGTTGACACAGCACTGCTAGTCTGAGGCTCAAGCTAATCACTCTTAATAATACAGCAATATTCTTATGTAGTAGGATACCTAAGGTCAATATTGTAACTTATAGGCTTATATGCAAGGTTGTGTTGCTGTATCCCTTTAAAAACCCACAGTTACATGCTTTGTCTCGTTTCTCACTGTTTGGTCAAGAGCTATTGCAATACCTGAAATCAACTGCTTGTCTTTGCTTCCAACCTGCAAAATGTGTAGAAATGTGACTAAAACAAAGTTCAACTGCTTAAATAAGCTGATACATATAGAAACATGGATGTGCTAATATTTTTACAAAAATATTTTAAAAACTTTATGGCACTGTAGTTAAGTGGTGACACAAAGGAGTTGTTATTGCCATTTTAGGTTACTAATAAAAAGAAGTAGACTTAGAATTACCTTGGAACAAACTGTGTTATGTTGGCTGTGATGAAAGAAAAGTATTGCCAGTTTACTAGGGGGATAAATTTGTCACCTCTTGAGCAGGATCTCATCAGTCTTGTGGTACAGCATCATGTCTGTTCTCTTTCAGATTGAACCAACTTAGGCACATAGCAGATGAACTATTTCTCTTGTGAATCAGTATCTGTTTGAAAACTTTTACATACAACTATTGTAAAGACATAATTGTTTTGTTCTAATAGCTTGGAGGGGTTGTCTTTGTGTAGTAGACTGTGTATTGAGGAGTGAGAAGAGGTAAGCAAGAGGAAACTGAAATGTCTCTACTGAAAGTGCATTTTGCTAGCATTAAACCAGGATGAATTACTTGAACCCTGGAAAAAACTTGATAGCACCTCTGGATTTTTTTTTTTTTTGGTCTCATGTGAATACTTTTATGGTTATGGAAAACTCAGTAATCCTTTTTTTTCTGGAATTAATTTTTAAACAGCCAGGTGAAACTGAGTTTGCCTAGTATCTGTGAAAAATCAAAAGCTGATCTTAATGCATGTATAAAAACCATACATCCTCTAAATATTAGTAAGTCCTCCCTGAGTTTGTAACCAAATCTAAAATTAAACCAGTTTGAGGTTTTTGCTCTGTGGAAACATTGTTCAGCTTTGAACAAGAGTGACAGAAGTAGCATGCAAGGTTGTAGCTGTTTGGAATGAGTTTTATCCATTGTGTGATCTGCTGTCATGGGGTCTGACTTTACAAATTCTTAGTGTTTACTTTTTCAATATATTCTGCATGTCATTCTCATACAAGGCATATTTCAAAATAGCCTGGGAAAGCATAGACAGAATGCTAGTGTCATCAAACTAAGCTTTATCATCTGTCATCTGTGATATGCATGCTTACTTGTTTAAGAATATGTAAATGAAGATAATTATATCCTTTTCTCTCTGTCTCCCTGACTTTACATGTATTTAACAAAAAGTTTATTGAGGTTGTGGTATATCTTAACCTCTCCTTTGTGCTTTTGTTTCTGGTGTTCTAGTTGAATGGAGATTCTCAGGCAAAGGTTCAGAGAATCCTGCGACTGATTTCTGGTGGTGGTCTATCCATAACTGGATCACACATCCTATGTGGAGACTTCCTGTTTAGTGGACACACTGTAGTATTAACGCTGGTCTACCTGTTCATCAAAGAATGTAAGTGTGTTTCAATGCTTTTGTTCAAGTTCTTCTGGGAAAACATGTGATAACATGAATGTAAAACTACTGTTCTCCAGAAGTTACTTGTCAGTTGTACACAGACTGTATGTGTATGGGTTTGAAATACAAATCATGATTTTGACTGGAAATGGAACATGGGTGTGGTAAAATCATGGGTTAAGGCTGGAAGGGACTACTGGAGGTCCTCTAGCCCAACCTCCTTGCTCAAACAGGGTTATCGAGACTGCATTGCAGAGGATTGCATCCAGACAGTTCTTGAGTATCTCGAATATGGAGAGAGACTCCACAACCTCTCTGGGCAGCCTGTTCCTGTGCACAGTCACCTGTGTGCTGGTGAAGTACAGAAGTTCTTCCCTACATTCAGGGGAAACTTCCTGTGCATCAATTTCTGCCTGTTGCCTCTTGGCACCACCAAGAACAGCCTGACTCCATCCTCTTGACACCTTCCCTTCAGATACTTACAGGCATTCATCAGGCTCCCTCTCAGATTTCTATTCTTCAGTCTGAACAGGCCATTCTCCCCCAGTTTTCCCTCCTGAGAGATGCTCCAGTATCCCAGTCATCCTCATAGCCCTCCACTGGACTTGCTCCACATCTGTCTTGTACTGGGGAACCCAGAACTCCAGATGCAGCCTCACTAGGGCAAGTAAAGGGTCAGGATCACCTCCCTTGACCTGCTGGCAATGCTTTTCGTAATGCACCTCAGGGTACCCCCTGCCTTTCTTGGCCACAAGGCCACACTACTGGCTCATGGACAACTTGTCCACCTGGACTCCCAGGTACTTTTCTGCAGAGCTTTCCAGCAGGTTGGCCCCAAACCTGTACTGGTGCACCATGCTCTCCTTTCCCAGGTGCAGGAACCTGCACTGGTCTTTGCTGAATTTCAGAAGGCTCTGTTCTGCCCTTTCCTGATTGATGACATCCTTCTGAAAGACTGTGCAGCACTCTGGGATATCGGCCTCTCCTCCCAGCTTTATATCCTCAGCAGACTTACTGAGGATGCACTCTATCCCTTCATCCAAGTTATTGATGAGTAAGTTGAATAATACCAGGCCCAGTATCAACCCTTGGGATGAATTAGACTCTGCCACTGGTAAAAACCCTCTGAACCCTGCCATTCAGCCAGTTCTCAATACATTTCACTGTCTGCTTGTCCAACCTTGCCTGTGAGAACATCATGGGAGACAGTGTCAAATGCTTGCTGAAGTCCATGTAGACAACATCCAATGCTCTCCCTTTCCTGTCCAGACTGTTGTCCCACTGTAAAAGGCAATCATGGTTAAGCAGGATTTCTCTGTGGTGAATCCATGCTGACTACTCCTGATCACCTTCTTGTCTTCCACATGGGTAATGATGGCCTCAGGGAAGAGCTGTTTCCCCTTTCCACGGGTTGAGGTGAGGCTGACTAAACGTTGTATGGGCTTTAACGAAGGGCTTAACATGGTTAAACGTGTTGACTCTATATAAGTATTTACTGGTTGATTAAAGCAAGAGATTTTCTTCGTTGATGGACAGATTATTCAAATTTTGGATAAAACATACTGTAGTTAAATATGCACACTGTGCAGGTTAGCTGATCTATGTTAGGACTTTAAGGAATTTTGTGGCTTGAACACAGCACTGTTGGATGCTTATACTACCTTTGGAAGCAAAGTTACTCTTCTCAACTGTGCTGTACATTAGTTACTGCAAACAGTGAAAAGTTGGTTCATGCTCTTTGGATGTCTTCTGCTAGAGTCTCCTGCGTAATGCTTCTTGTAGTTAAGAATTTGGCAAGCTCACAGAAGATAGTCATGACTTCCCCTTTTGCTTTACATTGCTCTGGGGCATGGGAGGAAAATCTCTATTGGTGCTGCACACACAGCAACCATTGAAGTGTTGGAGAACTGAGCTAAATCTGGTTAAGCTGTGCTTGTGTCTTGAGAACTTGGCTGCTCCTGAATGTGTAGTGGGGAGTTCCTTTTTCAGTTCACGTGTTTGGAATTGGATTCTTCTCTCCTACTGTTGTATTCCAAACTATGCAAATGCTATCTTGGCTCGCAGGAACATAGTTCTCACTGAAACAAAAATAAGACTAACCAGCATTAGTTGGATGCCTTCCTTTTATTAAAATGTTTAGGGAATGAGGTGTTGTAGTGCTACATTCTGCCTTAACCATAAACCTCAATATAAAAAGACCTGTTTAATATGATCAACTTTGAATCTGCAGATGTGAGACATTCTTCTTTGTACAGTGATTTAAGATGCTGATTACAGTCTGATTTTTAGGCCTAGGTCTTTCTTGTGAAGTGAACATTACTGGGGGAATGGCATATGTAAGTCACCAATATTGCCAGAACAGTATTAGGAAAGTAGCCTAATAATAGATTTATTGTTTACCTTGTTTTGTGTATGTTATATTGCATCTTATTCTGTTTGAATATTTATTTTTAGTACCACGAAAGATGCAGACAACCCAATAGTTCCTGGACTAGTTTATTCCTGTACTTGTATCGTAAGGGGTTGGAGAAACTGTATCATAAAAATTCTTGTAATAAGCCCTTTGACTGCTGCCTAAATGTTAGGCATATATTTCAGGGGAGTTGTGCTCTATAAATGAGAAATGCATAGATTTCCTTTTTCTGCCTCCCATGCAATTAGCAAAATGCTATCTGAACAAGGGCATGAGGCCTGTAATTGTCCTGAATTAGAGGCTGCTTATGGTATTCTTTTCTGCTCTTCTGGTAACATGTCTTCAGTGTAAGATGCATTCTGGGGATTTTATTTCTCACTTAATGGAGTTTTTGCTCTGTTCTTCCTTTCATACGCTACCACTTTTTCCACTTATTCCTCTGCAGTCCACTTTTTTTACCAGAATAGCTACATTTTTAGCTTTGCTATCTGTCTTGCTCTGTGGTATTTCCATCAATTTCTTGAGATTTACTTGGCTTCTTATCTTCCTTTTTTAAATTATTATTATCTTACACAGGCCTTTCAAACTACTATTGGGTAAGCTTGTTGAGATCAGTAACTTTTCTGCTGGTATTGTGTGAAAGTCAAGGCTGACCATTGCCCCACAAGGCAAGGAGTGCCAGAACCTCCCACTGTGGGTGAAATGAAGCCAGTTAGTCTGCCAGAAGTTATGAATGGTCATTGGGACACCTGAGGCATTTTTCAATGGGGAAAGAAGGTCAGGGGAACTCTTCTGCTGAAGTGGCTTAAATGTGGTTTGAAGAACAGCTTCACTCCCATTCGTTAAATCTTTCATTAAAGGGTATAAATTCACATACTGTCCTTCCCTGTACAGAGTATCCTGTTTCACACAATTGAGGCTTCATGCGAAGTATTTAAAACCTAGGAATTAAAATAAGAGTGTCTCTTCCTGTTTAATCTGCTCAGGTTGTATCAATCCTAGGCACTTGAGTTTACTTGAGCATAGACTGTAAGAAGAGCAAAGATTCAAATAAAATAACCAAAGTGGATGTTTTACCTCAATTCTGTCTATTCCTCTGCAATCCATATCCTAGAAGTGACTGTACTTAATTTGATTAGAAAATGGGTGGTGCTGTATAACTGCAGACTCATTTTGGCATCCTTTTACAAAGTAAGAACACACCTCAGTAAGCATATATAATTCTGTAGTCTTTGTTTTCTGTGTCAAAGCAGGGGTTTTGTACCAGTGTGATAGGAGTTATGTTTTCACATTTAATAACTTTAAATAATTTTTCTTTTTCCCTTCCTTTTGTGGATTGCTATAATAATGAATGTCTTTTTTGGTGTGTTTTTTTCCCCATCACCTCCTTGTTTCACAGATTCACCACGTCATTTCTGGTGGTATCACTTAATCTGCTGGCTAATGAGTGCTGCTGGTATCATTTGTATCCTTGTTGCTCATGAACACTATACCGTAGACGTCATCATTGCTTACTATATCACCACACGGCTCTTTTGGTGGTACCACTCAATGGCTAATGAAAAGGTCAGTGGCAAACACCTTTAGAACCAATGTATAACCTGCACTTGTTAAGATTGCCCAAAGGTCTTAAGTTTTCAATTACTAAATAAAAATAGGGGTTCCATATTGAAGTTTAAACAGAATGGGCGAGGATTTTCACTGTAGTGTTTAAGTAATTTGTCTTTAAAATATATTTTTGAACTTTGAGGTTTTATTGCTGTAGTTGGTTTACAAAATAGCCCTTCTTTGTCTCAACCTATGAATAATCGGTAGTTCAGTAATAAAATTTGTGGCCAACTGAAATTACCTAGACCGTCCTAAAATTCAAGTGACAGTTCTTCTGTAAATGTCATTGAAAGTATATTGTTCAGAAGGTATCTGCTGCAGTTGTTTAAACAACACTTTCAAGTAGAAGCATAGCTCTCAAGCCAGTTTAATCCAATTTTCAACTATTAGTCATCAATGGAAACACGACATGCCTGGAAACACATTCAAAAAGACTTGGGTGCTTTGTATCCCTAAATTTTGTACAGCAACAAAGCATCCTTTTGTGTGAGATGCTCATTTTGTCATTTGCATTTGGACTATGATCTATGCATTATCTCAATTCTGTGTTTTCTAGGCTAAATGCTCATTGTCTTTGCGGAAATGCATTTCTGTAGTTGTCTTGACTCAATAGAATTGATTATAATGCTTTAAACTGACTGTTTCCTTTTCTTCTTTATCTGCTTGTGCCAATACAGACTTTAAAGGTTTCTTCACAGACGAATTTTCTCTCTCGAGCATGGTGGTATCCAATATTTTATTTCTTTGAGAAGAATGTGCAAGGCTCTGTTCCTTGCAGCTTTTCCTGGCCGATATCTTGGCCTCCCAGCTGCTTCAAATCTTCATGCAAAAAGTATTCACGGGTTCAGAAGACAGGAGAGGACAATGAAAAATCTACCTGAAGAAAGGAGGGAAAGCATCTGCTCTGTGGTTTTTCTTGTTTTCTTTTGTTTTGTTTTTTACCAAAACATTAATGCTGTAACCAAAGTTCTTAAGAGGACTATACTGTAACTGAAGAAGTGGACCAAGCTTCTGTGCTATTGATTGAAGAGACAATTATAGACATGTATTGCCATTTCAGATGTTTTCCTATCAGGCTGTACAGACCTACTCTACTCCTCAGTGCTAATGAAATGCACCACTGATGGGATATTTTTATTAAAGAAAAAAAATGGAGCAGGACTTTGCTTTACTAACGAGATAGAGGTGCCAAAGACTACAGTAACACTTTCATTACTAACTACTGCTCATCCACAGAAGCACCCAAAAGTCTCATCTTCAGAGCTCTGGAGTGCGTAAGGGCAAAAACATGCTCAATTGTAAAGGCACGATATTGGCGTATCGAGGTATATAAAAAAAATAACACAATTGTGGGAAGTGGTTTGTTGCATTTTTCTTGCTAATGAAGGTAAGGCCTCTGCATGACTGGTACAGCTGGAAGCAAGTGTGACTTTTTTTTTTACACACTGTGGGTATGAATATCTTATGACCCTAAAATATTGCTTACCACTATTAACTCCCATATATTCTACTATGTACCAATTTTTACATTTTTATTAGTAATTTTATATTCAAACTGTTGTGCTACCTGATGACTTTGCTAATTAGAAATAGCTGCTAACATCAGAGCTCAAGGAGCCTAAAGTTTTATTTTTAGTAAGGGACACAGTTTCAAAGTCTAAATCTTTAATTACAGTTGGCCTTGTGTATATAGCTATACAGTGCCTGTCAGTGTATGTACATGCATATGCACACAAAAGCACACACTAAACAAAGGTATTTACTGGGAAGAGTGATCATAGAGTTCTTGATGCAGGCAAAAGTCCCACAGCTCTCACCTGCTTGAGCAACGCAAGGCCAGGTCCAAAATGAGGCTACGTTTAAAATTTAATTTTGAATTTTAGTAGCTATCTCTTGCTGAAGCTACATAGCAAGTTTGCTTGGGAACCATAGTTCTACATTGAATTTTTTTTTACCTGTTGACACATGTTTCTGTGACTTCACTTTAAAAGAAAAACCCACCAAACAAAAATGTGCCAAGGTAAATACCTACAACAGCAGCATTTCTTCAGTTATTACCAAAACCCATTTCATATTAAAATACACTGTTGTAGGACTCACATGTAGCTTCCTTTTTTCCCAGGGTTTCAGTCCAATTAAAATGTCTACTTAAACAAGTTGGCTGAGGAAGTGGGAAATTACCATGGGGTAAACATGTAACAAAACCACAAATTAACAGCTACCAGGTTCTTGTTGGGTTATGTTTTGTGTTGTTGGGAAAGCAAAGCAGAAAATTAGCATACCATGTTTAACCATTTTTATTCTGGATGAATTTCTGCAGTTAACTCAATATTGTTTTCCAGTTTTCAGTGAAACTTGATGCAAAAGTAAAACTGCACCAAGTGTTGAGGTGATACTAATATAAAGGAAATGCTGCTTAATTTTAAGAATGTCTGGAATTGACTGACAAGTGTGAACACAATTTAAATTATGACAACTTCCTTTTAAAAAGTTCAGTTAAAGTTATAAAATTAAATAGTATTAAAATATGATTTTTTTTCTAACTAAGGGGATCATTGCTCTTGTTGTACATGAGTATTTTTGTGCATTATCAAAACAATACAATAAACAATGTTCCTTACATCCTTGGTAAAACTTAGCTAAGAAAGAAGTTCTGCTGATGTTTGGTTTTATTTTAAATGAGCTTAGTAGGCTCTGATAACATGCCCCTGAAGTTGTGTGTATATGGGCATAACTATGCTTCTATTTGCTTGCTCCTAGCAGACTTTGAACAGCTAAAAAGCCAGTATCAAAACATGAGTCCTTTTTCTCTATCATATAAATGAGTCTGTTCAATGTCAGTCATCAGTAGATCTCCCAAGATACTTATTATATCAGTACTACTTCATAGAGCATAATTTTTTAAAGATGAAATCTAAGCTTTGTGATATCATAAATATGGTCATGTTATGCTATTTGTAGTAATACTGTCTTTTGTGATTTATGAATGGATTTCATTATTGGTAACGATGCCTTGAAAACATGATGAGAAGCCTTACAGGAGGAGCTTAAGCAGTGGTTTTCATCTGGGCTGAAAAATAAATACTTAGGTAGTCTAGATAGCTAATTGCATAACCACCACTGTGTCTCAGTGGGATTTCTGTAATATATCTTCAAAGTAGACTTCACACAGAATGAGGTGTTTGGGTTTTTTTATACTTATTCCGATTTCTGGAAGGTAAAAATGTGAAAGTGATGCAATAGAACCAAGTAAAGATTCTGCTTTTGTGGGGCTGCGTAAGCTTTCATTATACTGCTGAATTTGGTAGAAACTTCTGTTGTAATACAAAAGGAGAGTTTAAGTAGTAACTCTAGCTTAAAATACTTGAATCTTGTTCTGGCTCAGCCCCTCGGTAAGTCCTTAGTATTTCTCCATTGTATCCAAGCCCTTAGAAGGGTGTGGGGGTGTGTGCATTTAATTAGCAGAAAGCACCAGGTCTCTACTCTCTCAATAGCTTTTAATTGCTTTGCAAACTTGGATGGTATAGTTGTATTTGAAGATTCTTTAGGCCTAAATGTAAGGTGATGAAATGGGGTAAGTAATTGTATATGCCGATTCTTACCGCTATAGTAGTTTAACCAATACAAACAATAACTACTGCATGAAAATTACTCACTTTAAGATCTTGGTGATCATTGTATATTGATACCGTGAAGCTGAAAATACAGTTTCATCCAAAGAGGAAAAAACATTGCAGTAGGTAGAAAGAACAGGAGAAACTTGAACTTCACTGAAGCCTACAATCAAATTATTAGTGCATTATTTGGACTGTATATGCCCAGTGTTTTGCAGATGTCACTACTTATTTTTTCCTAGTTACAATATTTCTTAGAGGTGTCACATAAGCTGCACCTATGCTGTGACTACAACATGCTGCTTCTCTCTACTGAAGGGCATTTACATGTTGAACTTTCCAGACACTTCAAAAAAAACCCCAAACCAACAACTAAACTCTACACCTGTACACCTGGCATATCAGTATGACTTAGTTGCTGATGGTGCTTTGTGTTTATGAAACAAGCTTTGTTAAATGCCTAATCTAAGTTTAAACCTGGATGTAACAGGTTAACTTGAGGATTTAAAGAAATCTGCTAAATGGTCATGCTATAGATGCTTCATTTTAATGCCAGAAATGATTAACATATACTTGAAACCACTGTAAATGGACTCGTTTATTTTTTTTTCTGGTACGTACTTAGCACTCCCATGTGGTCATAAGTGGTACTATATATTAGTCATCCTTCATTGCAGTTTTCTTGGAAAGATTGCTACGGATGGGGTAGTAGCAAAAATAGTTGTGCTAAACGTTGCTATGAACTCTGCATTTGCTTCCCTCCTTAAAAAAAAAAAAAGTGAGAGAGAAGGAAACTTAAAAAAATTAAGACTGTATATGCTAAGATGCATTACCTTCATGTAATAGAGAAATAAAGCTCAGTAACAGAGACGGAACTGGGAAGTCTTGTAGGATATGAGAGAGCAATCTCTTAATTGGATTATTGCAAATCCACTTACCAGTGTCTTAAATCGGAATCTGTTCGAGGTATTGCTTTTTCCCATCATTAGTATCTGGCTAGACAGTTTATTGTAAGTTGTTTGGTACTGACCCCAATTCTTTCTCATTTCAGTAGATGTTAAGTATGATTTACAGTTCTAGAAACAGATCCATAAACAGCAGTGCGAAGTGAAGCCTTCCCATTTACTTTAAATGAACTTTTCCATAGCTTTTTGTTTGGTTTGGTTTTTTCTCTTTTTTAATTTTTAAACCTTGAATCTTAAAGATTCATGGGGTAGCTTTGAAAACATGTCCAATCTATCAGTTGTATTGAAACCATTTTTCCTTACTAGCAGACTTAGCTAGAAAGCTCCATTGTCACCTTGATATTTTTACAATACCCATGTTTTGAACTTACCCAGAACTCCTCTACGGACACACAAAATTAGAGTGATACTGTAAGGCTGAACACTTCCGAATTAAAGTGCTCTATACAAGGCACTGTAAAGTCAACATCTTAAATTCAGTTATTGAGGAGAGGGATCTTAAAAATAAATACTTCTGTTGGGCTCCACTCAAATGAGTGTTGCTGCTTAAGTGCACATGAGAAAAATATCCTAGCATGCCACTGAAGTAACTTTACTTAAAGTAAGCCTTCCTATGCTACTTTATTATGCTTCCCAGTGTCCAAAAAGAAGTGTATTGAAACAGGACAAAGGCTTTTGTTCTAGTATTTACAAGAAAAAGGAAGACAGATGAAAACACAGAAATAGATGGTGATCATATAATGCTTTTTACATGAAATTGAGCTAAAACTACAACGGACTTTTAAGTAATGTAGAAATAATTGGTTTTTGTGTAAAAATATCTTCTAAAACAAGAACAAAGTGCTGCAATGCTTAAAACATACTGAAGCTTTTTCTAGTTGGCTAAAGTTCCCATGGATTTAACTGTATGATTAAGTCTTATTAACCTAGAAAGTAGCACACGAGAATGTCAGGCTAGATACAGGTAGCTTGTGTACTTTAGGGAAACGTTCTAGTTCTGAACTCCTCTTTCCTAACAAAACGTTCAGAATGCCTGAATGATGTTTTACGATGGAGTAACAATACTGGGCAGTCTCTAACGTGTATCTGAAATACTGGTGTTGAAGATTCCTTCTCTCCTAATGTAAATTGGTGATTAAAAACTCAGGAAGGTTTGAATTGTTTTCAGTTAAAATGTTTTAATTACAAACGACTTGGAGTTTAGCAAATAGCAGTTTGTTTTCTATGGCTCTCTGCTGTGAACTAACCTTTGAGATGCAGACTAGGTAGGAGAAAGGAGGAAAGCAGCTCTTGCTGGAAGGAGCAGCGTGTGACTTTTGAACTAAAATTATATTGACTGTATGCTACATGCAGTCTTATCTGTACTATAGTTGAAAAAAGATGCTGTATTATACTTTTGTATTTAGTGTTCACACTTTTCAAAGTATCCTGTAGTGGTTGGCCCAGTCCCTCCCCTAGATGAGGAGTGAGTGTTTTTGTCCTTTGCTTGTTGTATGGTTAAACACAACTGGGTTTAGTTCTGGTAAATGTCAATGGAAAAAAATGTAGAACCATTATGTACAGTGCCTAAGATGTTTTTAAGAAGTCTGTGCATGGGTTTCTTCTAGGAGAAATACTCTTCTTTCAAGCTGTGCCTATATAATAATGTAAGCTCTTGCATTTGCCCTCAGCATAGCAAGGTTTGTAGGAGGTTAGCATTTGTGACACTGCAAAGAATTACTACAGAATAATCTCATTTGTGCCAATTGAGAGAATTTTCACGAAGTAACTTTGCTGAAATATATTTGACTTTTGAGTTTGTTGGGGGTTTTTTATTTGGTTTGGGGTTTTTGGTTTTGTTTTGTTTTTCTTAATTAAAAGAAGCAGCAGTCAGAAAGGAGTCTGAAGTGAAAGCATCTTGAGCAGTTGGGCACCTGGGCCCCTGTGGCATGTGTGGTATTGGATTCAGTACACAGAGGCTTCTCTGGGAAGGTAAACGAGGTTGTACTTACATAGTAGGCTGTGAGCCACCTTTGCTTGTCATTTTGAGCTCCTTTAAGACTGAGAGCACAGTGCCGAAGGTGGCAATAACTAAAAAGTGTAGAGAAGGTCACTTAGAAATCAGAAAAGTATGGAAAGGGCTGAAAAGGCAGATGTCCATAAAACCAGTCATTGGAGAGCTGTGTTCTAATTCAAGGAAGCAGAAAATTTGGGGTTCAAGCATGTGAGTTGGTTTTAAATTGAGTGGGTCTGTTTGCTTTTTAAATTACTGTGGTTTTTTTCATTAGAGATTACAGGAGTTCTGAGAATATCAAGAGGAAATTTATCTCCCTGCTTACTTTGACCTCTGTCATTGAAATGTTTGTGGATGAACAATATTACTAAACTCCAACCCCTCTTACATTTTGAGTAACTTGTTATCAGTGCTTTATTTCTGTAAAAACTGAGTTTGCATTCCACTTTTTTCATAATTTGTTGCCCCTCAAAATGCTGCTTGCACTTAAGCCTGTGCTGATTTGGGCTCTTGTCTCACTATGTCTGCCTCTTCTAAATGGCTCAATACAGAAGAGTAGGATTTACATTTGAGAAGACTCCATAATTAACCCTAAAGCCAGAAGGCATTCTTGTCAGACACATCTTTGCACCATTTGAGACTCAAAACTATTTTTAAGTACAAAACCTAACATGCTAGAACATGCTTTTTTATTTTTTCCCCTGTCAGGAATCAGTTCTTCCTCTTTAAATGTTCAGTATGTTTGCTTGTGTTTATTTTCCTGATTCAGGAGAAAATGTGTGAGATGTGAAAAAGATGAGTTCTGGCAGCTTCATGAGGTCAGGGTAATATCAAGGAACCTGAAAGTAAAAGCAGAAATAATGATGTGATGGCTGATGTTCTCGTGCTTTCCATGTGACTTTGAGAACTGCTAAAGACTTCTGTAAAAACACTACAGGACCTCGCTTTTAACTGCAACATATTTTCCCTACTCGTTGGCTGACAGCTTTTCTTGCCTGATTTCACCTAGGTTGACTCTGTAGCTCTGCACATAGCATAGGTTGGAGTTATATATCCAATCTTGGAAAAATTAGGCAAGAAAAGCTGTTGACTGCTGAGGAACCCTGCCTGGTAATACAGGAATGCTGTAATGCATGCACGATGGGCTAATAAATGGCAGGTTTTTATGGCTTTAGGGTCCAGTTCTGCAAAAACTGTGCAGTATAATGCTATGATAACAAATGATAATACTTAAAGACCTTTTGTGCTGTAGTTTCCACTAACGTTTGCAAACTGGGCCTCAATTTTGTGGAAATTGTTCAAAGTTAGCAAGAGCAAGAGTTGACTTTTATCTATCAAAATTTTCAGGATGACACTTTATAGCTGATGTCAGCTATTTTGGTTAGGTAACTGAGTGTTGTGGTTTGCTGTATATGTGCAAGAGAGAGCTAGGGCTGTGATTTGTAAGATGTTGCAATCTGTTCACTGTATAAAAAAAGAAAAAACTAAAAAAAAAACCAACAAAAAAAACCACACACCAAAAAACCCCTATTGCACTAGCTGTACTTTAAAAAAGCAATAACATGAGCATCTTTTAGCTTTTCTCTCCAAAGGTGCTGTCATGATCATTTGCATTGTTGGCCATGAATTTGGTAAAAACATCGTAAAGAAGTTGTCTTATGTGGTTTAGTTGGCACATACAAGTAGAAATTTTTTATGGTCAGCCTGTGTACTAACAAATGCAATACTTTGTTGGACTACTTACATGACCAGTCATATCTTTAAAAATCAGAAACCAACATCCATTTATGGTGCTAAAGATCTCAGATATTATTAAGAGCTGGTATTCTCTTCTTACCCATGAACACTAAGGAAAGCTGTTTTGACACCTTTTCAATAAAGCAAAATTTCTGTACCTTTTGAGCCTGTTCCAAATGCTTTTAATATAAATGACCCTTTTCTATTTCTATTTTATATAAAAACTGCAAAAAAGGTAAGTATTTTAATGCAGGAAAACATTAGAAGTAAATATATTGGTCTAAACTACATGTCCAAGTCTCAATTTTCATACATTTTTAAGACAGGTAATCTTCTAAAACTCAGTCTAAAATACAGGAGTTGTGTTGGCAGGATTAAGGTGCAAGCTAGTAGTTTAAAGAAAATCATTCTCTGGCTTCATCATCATCGTTGAAGCCTCAGAGACAGAGAGAGGATATGAAATGCACAAAGCTGTAGCAGGCGAACACCAATTATGCAGTGTAGATCCACCTTTTGCTGAAACTTCTAAAAAACAAACTTGTGAAGGAACATGACCACGTAATCATACCTAAAGAACAGACTTGAAATTTGACATAATTATCAAGGCTCTTCATAGTAGGAAGTCGTAAAAACCCATGGAAGGACCTTGAACTAGGTAGTTTAGATTGTGAAACAGCAATGTAATTTTCTAGCTTTGTTTAAAAGCTTCACAAGCAACATTCTCTTAAGATGAAAAACTCTTGTGCCTTCTGTTGCAGAAGTTATTGTTCTCTTCCTTCCCTCCTTTGGTTATGATTTTTTTTGTATATAATGAAGGACAGTGTACTTCCAAATCTTTTCAAGAGGCATGTTTGGGCAGCAGTACCTGCACTTTCTATCCATGGAGAATACCAGGACTCTAGTTCTTTTTAAAGGCCCTTTACATGTCAACTTGCCATTGTAAAAGTATCTACCTGTGACACGGCAATCTTAGTAGTCAGCTCTGAAATAAATATGCTCTTATTTGATAGGGACACATGAACATGCAGAGTGGGTGCCATGTCCAGGTACACCTTGGTGAGTGAGCAGGGTGCAGCCTGGAACACTGCAGCACATTCCTCTGCTCTACAGTAGTCGTGCTCTGAGGTTTTGGTCCCTAAACTGTTCTCTTTCATATGCTGGAATAAGTTCTCTTGAATCACTTGCACCTTGTATTTCAAGGAATATGGGCTTGTCTAAGATCTAAGAATATTCCATGGCTAAAGTAACTTAACTTAAAGCAGAAACCCACCATCTAGGAGAAAATCAGGGTGGGCTGGGGTTTTTTTTGAGTGAAGAGGGATAATCTAGTAACAATAGTCTAGATTGTGTCTTGCTGCTTGTCCCAGTGCTTGCTTTAATAGTAGGACACTTGGAAGAGCCAAAGATAGAGCAGTCATCCATAACAGTCCTAAACCACACTGAAATTTAACTTTCCTATCTCTTAATTACTAGATGCTTCAGAGAAAAAGGGCTTTTGTTTTTTAATAAAAAAAAAAAGTGCAATATTTACAGAAATATAAAGAGATAAATGGCTGCAGGTTTGAATGCCCTGCAAAAAACAAAGCCTTTGCAAGCATGTGACATGCACTTGACTGAGAGTGTTTTTTTAGCCTTAGCATCTCCTGTGTTACAGAAACATGTTTCAGTGCACTAGTCTAACTCAGAGATTTCAAATTATTTTCAACATTCTTTTGACAAAGGGAGTGTTTTTTTTATTAATAAAGTGCCTGTGGAAATAAAAATCCAAAAGTTGCCTGCAAATGTAAATAAAGCATATAGAACCACAGCCCATACTTGAAGAGAATGGGTGCTAACTCAGTAACTGTGGAGAACAGCTGCTCAACAGTTGTAAGTGTTGATAGGATTCTGAGTTTGAGAAAAGAATATTATGTTTGAGAGTTTACTGTGTTAATTAAACTTCTACTGTTTTTGCTTGGGCCTTAACTCTTTAACTTAGTTATCTTTAAAGAAAAATTAGTTCCTTTGAACTATTCTATTTCAGATGTTTAATGACAGTCTTTACTCTGGTGGGGATTTTTATTCATTTGTTACATGGTTTTGTGTTTTTTTACCTGTTAAAGTCACCAAATGCTTTGATTACTCAATTTGAGGTAAAAGAGTTTGAAGAATGTCTTTTCTTTAAGTGCGGAATTCAAGGGAGGGTGAGTTTTATTACACTGATACTAGAACTGAGAAGGAATGATTTCCATGGGAAGCATGATAGTGCTAAAACTTGTATGTGTGGTTATTTGGGGTATGCAGAATATTAGTACTCATGTGTTGTTTTGCTGTTAATTTTATGCTCTATAAAGAGGCTATTTGGTACTAATTTAAATTTAAAAATATTGATTTTAATGTTGCAACAGCTGTTATTTGAACTTGAAACATCCATTTATGTACTGATATGCTAGAGCAAAATTTACATTTCATCAGTAACTTCATTTAAAAATATGAAAGTAATCTCATTTTTATCAAAATTAACATGGAATTTAATCTCTGGGCAAGCTTGAATTGCTCATATGCCACTGAAACCAATCTTCAATTGCATATAGAAGGAAAGCAGGCTCTTTTTTTTCTAATCTAGTATAACTTCTTGAGTAGACTAAGAGGGAAGTGAGACTAGATTACTCCTCTATAAAGAAAACAGGCAAAACCAGTAATGCGTTTCAGCTGTGCTGAATAGTTTAGCTTCTTATTTTCACACTGTAGAATTTAAACTTTTCTTGAAACTCAGATTTAAGATGTCTTTAGTTCAGCTAAATTTTCACCTGTTCTTTTTATATTTTTTCTAATAGTTACATTTTATTGGTGTACGTTGTAATTAACCACTGAATTTCTTGCAAATATAAACAAAAAAAAAAAAGCTGCATTCTGTTCTAAGTTAAATCTGTGTTCTTAGTTTTTTAATTTTGATTAATCTGTGGCTAGTAAAATGTCCATTTGCTGTTTAAAGAGACAGTTGCCTTAATTGCTTGGAGGAAAGCTGACCTTGACCATTTGAAGCTTTATGTATTTCTAAAATTCCTGTAACTTCTGTAAAATTGCAATAAAACCTTTTTTATGCCACTATTTTATGAGCCATTTGTCACTATCTTTACGGAATGCTCAACTATTTAAAAAGGAGTTTTTTAACAACACCCTTTTTAGTGGATAAGCACCTCTTGTTCTGTGTGATTTTTTTATTTTTTGGAGTATCACTTTAAAGATGGTGTACTTGTGTTTTGCCCACAGTGTTTTTCTCTTTTAGTGAGGGGGTACCAAGAGCACTTACTAAAATCACTGATGCTGCAGCAACTGGCTTGGAACACCTTACAGTAGCATATTCAACATCTGATTACCTTTGTAGGGATTACATTTTATTGTTGATCAGCAGGAAAAAGCGCACCAAGGTGTGTTGTACAGAGTGAGGGAAGTTACCCTGTAAACCAGTTGGGGGTAGGTTTGGGTTTTTGGAGGAGGTGGGGGGTGTGGATGATGGGGTTCTGTGTTGGGGTTTTTGTAGGGTTTTTTTTTAATTTTGTTTTGGGGTTTTGTTTATTTGTGGGAAAGAACTAAAACTATCTTTCCTCTGAAAGTCCAGCTCTGGTAAGCCTCTGTGTGCTGCTCTGCGTGTGTCAAGCAGTTGCTTTAACCTGGAGCTGAGACATGTTTCTAGGTTAGTCCTTGGTTATGAAAACAGAACATTTTGGTCTATTCCTTAGAACTCCCAGCTTTTCTATTTGGGCAGGAGGAAGAAAGAACATCTGTATTTCGTTTCCTTCTGAACACCACTAAAAATGGATGTTTGCAGAAAGAGCATTTGCAAGCAAGTCCTATGAGGTTGTGGGGAGCGCTCTCTTTTTGTTGTTGTTGTTGTTTTTTTCCAATTAGCTGAACACGTGTGCTTGTGTTCAATGACATCTTTTAGACTTGGAGCGCGTCCAAGCACCGGGCCAGCTTTTGACAGCGGAGGGCGGCGGCGGTGGCGGAGCCCGGCCCCGCTCCCCGCCCACAGCCCCGGCGGGACGGGGTCAGGGCGCCGCGGGCCTCGCCTCCCGCCCGCCCCCGCCATCTTAAACCGCTACTCGCCCGCAGCGGGGCCAGCGCGCCGGTCCCGCTGCCCGGGGAGATGGCGGCGCCGGGCACGGAGGCTTGGACGTGGCTGCTGCGGCCGCCCACCGCCACCGAGCTGCTGCTGGCGGCCCTGTGCTGGCTCGGCTGCTACTGGCTGCTGCTGCGGCGGCCGCGGGCGCTGTCGGGGCTGCCGCCGGGCCCCGCGCCCTGGCCGCTGGTGGGCAACTTCGCCTTCGCCCTGCTGCCGCCGCCGCTGCTGCGCCGCTGGGCGGTGCAGGGGAAGGACGGCGGCCGCGTCTCCCCCGCCTTCTCCCCGCACGTCTTCCTCACCGGCCTCACCAAGATGTACGGCAGCGTCTTCCGGCTCTTCGTGGGCAGCCGCCCCTTCATCGTGCTCAACACCTTCGAGGCGGTGCGGGAGGCGCTGGTGGAGAAGGCGGAGGTGTTCAGCGACCGGCCCTCCGTGCCCATCGTCCTCATGATCACCCACAACAAGGGTAAGCGCCCGGGGGCGCCCCGGCGGGTGTCGCTCGGGGAGCTGTCGCACCCTGATGGATGGCCAGGGCGATGATACCGAGCGGGGCTGGTGGCTGCTCTGCCGAAATTTATAAATAAGTGTTGTGAATTGCAGAGTGAACCATTTACTTGCTTTTTTGCTCCTCGCGTGTATCCTTCACCCTGCTGCTGACTGAAAGCACGCAGAGAGAAAGTCAACCTCCCTTGAGGTGGACATGCAGCATCCCCGTGAGCTGGGCAGTGCTGTGCTGTGCACCACGGACCACCTCTGGATGACTGAAATGCCTCATCCCTTTAGCTCTGTTCGCAGTGAAGGGACTGAGGAGCGGCTGATGGAGCTGGGGCTGTTTAGCCTGGAGAAGAGGAGGCTCGGGGGGACCTTACCGCTCTCCAAACTTATCGAAAGGAGATTGTAGCCAGGTGGGGGGTGGCCTCTTCTCCCAGGCAACCAGCGGTAGGACAAGAGGACATAGTCTCAAGCTGCACCAAGGGAGGTTTAGGTTGGACATTAGGAAGAATTTCTTCACAGAAAGGGGGATTGGGTGTTGAAATGGGCTGCCTGGGGAGGTGGTGGAGTCACTGTCCTTGGAGGTGTTTTAAGGAAAGACTGGATGTGGCACTTAGTGCCATGTTCTAGTTGGCATGGTGGTGTTCAATCATAAATTGGACTCAATCTCAGAGGTCTTTTCCAACCTAATTAATTCTGTGACTGGCTTTTGTGCAGGGGTTTAAGGAACTGCTGGTCTGTCATCTGGGGGCTTTCTGATTTTGACTGTGTCAGGAGAAAAAATGTCAGAACTTTGGCAGTGGTATACTAAACTGAACACTTCCCCAGTTCTTACCAAGGTACCGATGGCAAAGAGCAGGTTTCTGTAGCTGTGCAGTCTGTGCTGCCTGTGTGGAAGCTACTGTTGCTGAGATGTTTGCAGGTGTGTTATTATGCTTGTCAGAACTTACTGAATATATTTGGGGGGGTTTTTTTTTTTTTTTTTTGGGTTTTTTGTTTGTTTGGTTTGGTTTGGTTTTTTATAGGTCAAAAGAGAGTTTACTAGCTCTTGCAAAAAGAGGGCATGGGAGAGTGTAAACACATGTTGGCAATGCTGCAGTTAGAATTTCTTCATGGTTAGTTTTTAGGTCATTATGGCTGTCAGAGTTTGTGGAAAACTAATTTTCCATTTCCAGTTAGGAAGTGTAGCCCAGAAGGCTTGTTAGTGTGCTAGCTTGTTGTGAAACTTACCTTTTTTTATTTTCTTCCAGTTTAATGTTGGATTTTGTGTTTGTTTGTTGGTTGCTTTTTTTTTTAGTGTACCAGAATTACCCTTGTAAAGATAAGAGGAAAGCGAGTGGCGTAGGTCATGTTTATTAAAATGTGATCAGGTACCATTGCTGAAATTGGTTTAAAGAATAAAAAAATAAATTATGAATTATATTAGTTTAATGATATTGGTCTGAGACAGATATTACTGGCACATTATCATGCATGAGTATTTTTAGGTACAGTACTTTTAGCAAGAACTGGGGGAGGAAAGGGGAAGAGGAGTTACATGATTTTAGCAGTGCTCTAAAACTGCATGTTTAGGCTCATGGTGGATTTCTTTTTCCTTAAACGCTCTGAATTTCATGTTTCATGTTCTCTGATAGGCTTTTTTGAACATGGTGCCCCAAGACTAGCCAGGGCAATTAGCCACTTTCATTAGTGGATGTTCCAGGGGAGTTGAGTGTGTAAGGAGCCTGTTGTCCAGAGCCGGAGCGTGCTGCAGCCAAGTCCAGGGACTTGTACCTGCCTGTGCTGCGCTGCAGCAGGGAGGTTACATTGCTTTACGTCTAGTTTTGTGTGGAAGCTCTCCATAACTGCGCTCAGGCACGAGGACTGTTAGACGAGAGCTGCCCAGTGGTCTCTAAAACATACCGAGCTGGTATGTAGCGTGCACGTTTGCTGGTTGAATTGCCACAGGTGTGGGAGTGTTGTAGAATGAACCGCAGGGGTGGTGTGTTTTGAGTACACCAAGGGCAAAGGCAGTGAATGTGGGCAGTGTGGGCTGCTGTTTCTTCAAAAGCCGGTGGAAACTACAGATGCTCTTTCTGGGCTGGCTTGGGTTTAGTGGTGGCATGAAGGAAATGACTCAACATCTGTGGTGCTACATTTGTGCTAACTAGTGTTTCTTTTTTGTCTGTGGTTCATGGAGGAGGTCCGTGGGTTACGACACTCAAACTGGAGGCCTCTGAGGGTTGGTCTGGGAGCCTCCTGATCATAGATTCAGGAGTTCATGGGTGAGACTTTACTGCAGGTCAGGACAGAGGCAATTGTGTTAGTATGTATTAGGAAAGGAAATGATAAAGCAGGATGATGGGTAACTTCAGATCTGCTGGTCACAATTTGGGTACTACAGCACTGGGGTGCTTTGAGTCAGTAAGTATTCCCTTTGGGTTCCTGTATCTTTGTTCTATAAACAAGCTACAGGGTATGAACTTACAGAGCTATTTCCTTGTAAGCTACATTTTCTGTGATAGTTTTGTCTTTACCCTGAGCTGACCTGCTGGGTATGGTATGGGAGAAAGCAGGGCTTATCTCAGCTTTGTGGCTTGATTGTGTGTAAGATGCAAGTAGAATATTGTGCGTGGGGGAGAGCAAGTAGAAGTACCAGAAATGGCAAATACTGTATTTCAGCAACTTGATTAGTAAAGAAGGGAGACTGCCTTGGCTGGATGGGAAGTGCCATGAGAACTTAAGGGAGAAGGTAGAAGTTAAGTCTTAATTGAAGGCTTCTGTGCATACATCTGTGGGAACAGAAATACCAGACTGGGGAAAACGTAGATTTTGGTCATTTTGTTTTAGTAAAGCATTTCTGTATTTTATATCTGTGAGAGGTTGCAGCAGTGACTCAGTCTCTAGAGTGGATGGAGCCTGAGTGGTTGTCTGACATTTTAGCCCTACCCTGTGTACATCCAGATGTGGACATCTGGCAGCACAGAAGTTAAATGTTATTAAAAGTCATGAATTCTATGTTGGTCAGTGTTCCCAGTATTGCAGCAACACTAAAGCTAGCAGAAAGAAATGGGGGAGAGGGAGGGTAAATTAGCCTTTGCCAGAACTTGCTTCTTGTAAGGATTTACATTTTTTTTTCATGTAAAAAAGGAGAATAAAATGAACTCTGGTTCTGTGAATTTGTTGGTTATATTGAAAGGTTTTTGTTATCAGTACATAGAATTAGCCCTCTATAATGAGCATGAAGTCTTGGTTATTCTTGTTGCTTTAGAATTCATTATTGTATTTTCTTCAGGTTTTTGTTTGTTTGTTTTTTGCTTTAGTTTGTTTTGGGGAGTTTTTCTGGGGTTTGTGTTTTGGGGTTTTTTGTTTGTTTTGTGGGTTTTTTTGGTTTTTTTTGTTTTGTTGTGTTTTTGTTTTGTTTGTTTGTTTGTTTTTGTTAGGGTTGTTTTGGTTTTTTAAAGAGTAGAGTTATCTGTGCTGGGTACCTTGACTTTTCAGGGCGGGCAGAGAT